AATCATATGATGAAAATTTTTCATCAAAGTTAATGTTACATTCATATAGTAATGACTATTTGAGACTTTGTTACACCAATTTGGGATTTAACAAATGATAAAACTATCAGGTTTAGGTAACACCACTAGTAAGAATTTATGTCTCTTGATTTTTGATAATGAGTACTAACAGAATTTTTTAATTTTGGTTATCATTTTACAGATTCTTAATGACAATAGGAATGACAAACATTTTTTATTTGTTACAAGCAAACATTTATGTACCAATTTGTAACACAAATAGAGAGATTGAACCTGAAATAAAATTCAACCACAGCTAAACTTACCTGTTTACAAATTATTATCGAGTTATAAATTAGGTCATTTCAACAGCAGAGACTGTTAATTTTACACATATATTAAAACTGGTAAAGGATTATTTCCATCACAATTGAATCCAACATAAATATTTTAATTTGTGATTGATCACAAACGAGAGGGATTCACTTTGGATTGGGCACTGTCTCTGCTGTAGATCGTTTCTGGTATACCGGTAATAGTTAATCTAGTTGTTATGTATAATAGACCGATCTCATGAAAAAATTACTTATTTATTGATGAGACGAATGACGAATTGAATATTTACAATCATAAAAAAATTTTTATATGTAAAATTTTTTACCGGGTACCCAGGTCGCGAGATTGTAAAATTCATAAATAAACTTTTTTTTATTAAAAAAATTTTTTTAAAAAAAATTTAAAATCCGGGTCAGTGGGTCATAGGAGGTTAGCCAGTGATATGAAAACCGAAAATATAAGTTTGTATGGCCTTAATTATGTAATTATTTTATCACGATTAGAACTACGTATTTTAGATCAATTTCTTATAACTGACGCAAATTTGAGATTAGTTAACATTTGTTATCGATTCTCATAAGTAATTGCTATTAATACTAAACTAATCGATAAGTAATCGCCCATCACTAGTTCTGATATCCAGACCTGAATTTATTCGGATATCCGTTTTACTATTGATAATTATCTGAATGTTTGTCAATTATTCGGATTCATAAGAAGAATTTCGTATGATTAGCTGTTTAAATCAATTTAATTTTACATTATTTATACAGTTTAAAGCAATTGATTGTGGGAGGCAATTAATTGCAATTTTTTTAAACTTGATTGATAGTGCGCAATTTTTGGTGTAATGAATTATTTGCATGACAAATAAGAGTTCACTAATACGATTAGCAACTATGTGGCAAATGGTAATTATTTCATCATTAATTGGGTTTCAATTAATTTTGACAATTTTAATTGATTTTAATTGTATGACGCATAACAAAAATTGATTTTAATTAATTTTTCGGTAGGCTTGGTTTAAAGTACTTTTTTAAAACAAATAAAACTATGAAGAATAAACCAAAAAGAAAGTTTTATTAAGGTTGTAAGACCCAACCATTAAAAATAAGCCAAATCATTTCTGGTTTTAGAGAAGTTAGCATAATAGCGACTTCTTAAAGATAGATAGAATTAGGTTATTATCATTCTAACTTCTCTAAAACAAAAAGAGATTTTGATTATTTTTAATAGTGAAGTCCTACAACGCTAATAAAACTTTCTATACACTTCTTTTTTGTTTATTCTTCGTAGTTTATTTTTTTTAAAAAGGACTTTAAACTGTATAACGATAAATAATGTAAAATTAAATTGATCTAAACAGCCAATCATCTTCCTATGATATCCGGATACCAATAGTAAATGGTTATCCAGATAAATTCAGATATGGAACTCTAAAAAAAAACACTTTTTTAATACTTTAAATAGTTTACAAATTAAAATATTTTTTTTTAATTAAAATTTAAAGACGAATCTAATTGTAACATGATGTTACACGCCTTATTTGTAACATTTTACTTAGTATAACCAATAAAAACAAATAAACATTCGTGTAAGCCAAATCTTAACTCTAAATTCTATTAACTAACAACAGAGAAGTTGCATGTAACAGCTGTTACAAATATATTTTTTCAAATTTAGTTGTTATTTAGATCTACTTTATTAAATAGCAAACTTTTATATTATTTGAGTGTCGCTAAAAGAAACCCCGAAAATTTAAATATAAGTCATATTTAAATTTTCAGGGTTTCTTTTAGCAACACTCATATAAAGAATATATTTTATACGTATTGTTTATATTGATTGTTATTTAGCCAATCTTACCATGCTGATTTGACCCGTCTAAAAAATCTCCACCCAGGTCACCCGGGTGAAAACCGAGTGATCCGCGGGTTGACCCATCCGGGTAGTGACCAAATCGTTAGTTGAAAAACCAACTAGTTGACAACTTTCCAACTAATTGATTAAATGATCAACTAGTTAAATCCTGAGATAGAGTTCCTATCCATTATCCGTTTATCCATTTATCTATTGGATATCCAGATCTGAATTTATTCAGATATCGGTTTATCCGGATAAATTCTGATATGAGTGCGTGAGAGTGAAAAACAGGATAAATGATTTCTTTAGTTTGATTGGCCAACCAACAAATTTAGTCAAGACAAAAAAAATCGATTAGTTGCAACTATAGTTGGCAACTAATCGATTGGAAAATTTTTCACCAACTCGGAACACTACATCCGGGTTACCACCCGGGTCAAATCACTACCCTAACTGCCTTAAAAAAGAGTAAAAAAAGATAACTCTAAAACTTACACCACTTTAGCCGACCACTTAATTTAGTAAATAACTACTGATGGACAAGTATATCGATATTGATATTTTTTTCAGAGCATATCATAGTCCATCGTCAACCCTGAGTGTACCCTCTATAAGCGCACTTTGTCATGACTTTCCCAAATGATCGATCTCTGCAAATTGATAGAATAATTTTTAGAGTTCGGGTTTAGATCGTTCCATAAGTGCATATTTTCCGACAAAGTGCATTTATCGTTATAGAGGGTTATTCACACAATTTCTTGTTATCCAACATTTTCTATTTATTGAATTTTGCGTTTACTAATTGTTGACTTGCATTTGAAATTATGCACGAGTTCTCACTTATGCGCACTTATGCATGTGAGTTCGCACGTTGATCCGAATCATTCTAAATCCGTACTTTAACGGATTTAAAATATGGGGTTGAGTCAATAGAAATCAAGCAAATTTTTTCCAAGTAAATTTTTTTATAACTTTAAATAACAATAACTTAACAATAACTCAATCAAATTTAATAAATTTCTTTTTAAATGAATTCTACAAACTTGTAGAATTTATTTAAAATTTTTTTTTATTAAATTTGATCAAATTTTTGTTAAGTTATTAGTATTTAAAATTTTAAAAAAATTCAATAAAAATAATTTACTTGATTTCTATCGATTCACCCTCATATATCTAGGACTTATGTGCATAAAATTTCCAATGAATATAAATCTATGAATGTAAATGCCGAATAACTTCATTTTCGTTTATATTAATTTAATGAGTGAAGGTAATCATCGAAAGTAATTAAAATTTTAAAAATGTTTATACCATATGTAATTATATAATAGATGATCTTTCTATAAGTAAAACCTTGGCTGTTAGGAAATCAAAGGGCATCATTAGAAACATGGCATGGGTTTGTGCGTAGGACCTAAATGATATATACCAACCAAGGATTAAATCAAAGTTGGTTAAACCATTGTACGTATTTCATCGTTATCATTATGGGAAATTAAACAGTGTAACCAGAATGATAAGAAACTCTAAAACAACGGAAATATGTGACATTAATTATTAATAATGTTAATATTACCAAATAAGACTGAAAGAATTAAGAATCTGTTTAAGGTTAAATTTAAAAAATGCTTTTTTAGTTACTGCATTCTATCAAGAATAACAGCCTTTTCAACTTTCTTGGAATCAGGGACATATGGTAAGGCTAAGCAAAATTAATTTTTTGGTTCTCATAACCAGACTGAGTAAAACTTTGCTAAATTTGGTAGATTTTTTTAAAAAACAAATCCCAAAAATTTCTACGTATATGGAATTTTTTTTTGAAAAGTCGGACAACTTTTTGTGTTATGAGAACCAAAAAAAATTACCTTTATAATGCCCAATTAATTTTTCAAAAAATTAAAAATCAATTTTTTGACGGAATAAAAATTTTTAAATTTTAAATTGACATATTCGTAAATAGAACCACGCATATTGATATAACCAACAAAAGGAACAAAAGAATGCAATCTACAGTATATTGCTGTATTTAATAAATTTTTATAATGTAAACATAAGCTTTATCGTTATTTTATGACTATTAATTTTCATTAATTAATTTTCATAAATAACTTATTTAGTATAAAATTTAATTCTTTAATCACAAATACGTACGTATGCAAATTTTTTTTTTTTGATTATTGAATATCAAAAATGGTAATGTATTAATCACAATAAAACGGTGCTTTTAAATATAGTGTTATCCGCTTAATTAAATTACCAAATGCAAAACTCATTTGACCGGTGCAATCCCGGGTCCTGGCCCCTAAACTAAATTTATTTTTAGATTTCGATCTTTATTAATATTACGCGACTTGGTTCTTATCATTTCCAAAAATAGATTTTATATATGCTAATTAATTTGATATTGTATTCACTGAATTTACATAAAAAGAAAAGTTTGATTTTTTGAGATTGTCTCCTTGTGTGTTGGCTTTTCTTATCGAGCACTTATACACAAAATACTTAGAATGATGCATTGTGTTACTATGCTACTGTCATATAAATGCTCACCACTTGCATCGTACGATTATTCTCACTTTTAAATTCTTTAAAGTCAATATATACTTTTTGCTTGCTGCGAAGGATCTTGTAATCCTATTCTCTTTGAGTCTTTGGCAAAACATTTATCATTAAGGATCATCAAAGTATTTGATGACCCATTTTCTACTTGAATAACATTTCTACTTTGTTATAACATTCGAGCTAAATAATAGACTCGAGTCTTAAAAAAATTTCTGTGAATCAAAAGTAATTTGCTATCAATGAAACGAGGTCATAATTTTTTAGGATTAAACGATTCGCGTAATAAATTACCTCGTTACTATAATAGTGTTGGCAATTTAGATCGGACATTTCCTGTTACCATGCGTAAAGAACGAATTATTCGAATTATTTTAATTTTAATCATTTTAGTATTTATAAGTTTTTTCATGTCTAACATTCTGATTTTCACCAAAAAAACTTCTCTTAAATCATATGAACAAATACATATTTATCGAATCATTGGTAATGACCTTCCTCCACGGCATAAAATCGGTCAAGTTATTCAAAATACTCGTTTTATTTTACAAAATGAACCTGATTTTCCAAATGCAAAAAAATGGTGGATAATTAATCGTATTGTTGATAGTGAATATGAGAATTCAATAATTCAATTATTAAAACTTTATAAAAAAGATTTTATTAGAATACCTTTTAATTTGACTGATTATCTTAAAGCTGATTTTCGTCTGGAAGATTTCCCTGAACCTGATTTCCTTCATTCTTATGAATTTATGAATTTTACAAAAGTTGCTAAAATAAGAACAATAGATTATACTTATCATGATAAAAATATTTACGTCATGAATAATGTAGGTTGAAATTATTTATTAATAATCTATTTTATTAACATGTTAAATCTAACTTTTTTATTAATATTATTTAGAATGGTGGTCGAAATGTAGCTTTGAATCATGGTCAATCTCAACCAAATGTTCGATGGATATTCCCTTTTGATGGAAATTGTTTCTTAACTAATGATGCTTTTACCGAGATTACGTCTCAACTTGATAAATGGGGAAATGATTATAAATATTTCGTGGTTCCTATGGCAAGATTATTAAATAATTCGGGATTATTATCCGGTTCTGATCAAAAACCACAAACTCCTGAAGAACCTCAAATAATATTTCGATATGATGCTGAAGAAAAATATAACGAGAATATGCGTTATGGTAGAAGATCAAAGGTATAGCATAATATATTTATATCTATATATCTATATTTCGCGACTGAAGTTACGATTTATCTGAAGTCGTCACTTTAGATATCTGAAGTTACAATTTATATGGAGTTGTCACTTTAGATATCTGAAGTTACGATTTATATGGAATTGTCACTTTAGATATCTGAAGTCACGATTTTTCTGGAGTTGTCACTTTAGATATCTAAAGTAGCACTTGACAAGCCCGGAAATTAGACCTTCGTGCCTGTAATTCTATATATGTCTAAAGTGGCAACTAAAGTTGACATTCGCTTGGAGTTACAACTGAATTAATAATTGTCTAAACTTCTTATTTCATGGACTTAGTTTGGTCAGGTATATAATGATTCTAATCAGTTAACCGTTGTATTATCCTTTTTTTCGTTGATAATGATGGTACATTAAAAAAAGAACATAGGTTGGTTAACCGGTTAGAATCACTATAAGTGTAACTTTAGGCAACTTTAAATATATAGTTAACTTTGAGTAACTTCGGGAACGACATATATAATTAATAATATTAAAGTTATGTTAAAGTAAATTAATATATAAATATATGTAAATTTTTTTTATTATAGTTGGAAATGTTATGGCGATTAGGTGTTCCAACTCCAACTAAATTCATTGTCAGACCAGTCATTCCATGGGAAAAAAATCATGATGATTTTTCGAATCACACAATTGAAAACCAATACATGATAGTCGGCTGGGTATACCGATTATTCTCTGGACAAGCGTCACAAGAGTTAAATCATAGAGAAGCAGGTGCATTTAGAGCATTTAATCGTCTGTTAGCTATTCAAGAATTAATCGATGGTATAGATGAACGAATAGCAAGAAATCATAAAAATTTTAGTCCTGATCATTTATTTTTATATAATGAAATGTCTTTAAGTAATGCAAGATTAAAATATTGGTCCGGTGATGAAAAAATTACAAGGATTATCGATGTTATGATAGATCATGCTGAAGAGATAATTTCTACTATTTCCGATTTTTATGGTGTTGATGATCTAACTATCAAATCAAGTATTCAAATAGAATTTTTGAAATTCAAGACTGATTCTGAGTTAAATTTATTTGATAATGATTCAAATGAATCTCCTGTTCATATCACTTCAACTTCTCAATTATTTAAGAATATTACAACTTTAACTCTTGCCGATTATTTTTCTGGAAATTCTTCTTATGCTCGATGGGCCGCAAATCTTGTTCGTACATTTTTATTATCATCTTATAGTATTGGTGAAGAAGATAAAATTACTTTCTCGGAATATAATGATACTTGCTTTACTTGTAATGCAACATTTGATGAAGGTTATGCTTTTCCTTATTTAAATAAGATTCCACGAACAATCCCTAAATTTATTCAAAATTCCGATTCAAATAAGGATTCTTCGGTATTTTATAAAATACCTAATGATATATTTGAAACCGATCCTTCTTACTTTCTTGATTCATGCAAATTACTTTATCGATTAAAAGCATTAACTCATAGAGAATTTATAGAACTTAAGGCATTGGCTTCATATTGGCTTGAGTATTTAATAAGTTCTCCAGAAGGAATTTCTATGGCACGTAAACCGGATCATAGAGGAACTCTTTATGATCTTCAAATTCTTTCTCTTTCTGGATTTATTGATGATGTTAGATTATATTTAAGAGTTTCTAATCGATTAAGAATGAGAATAGGAAAACAATTTTATATAGCACATGACGCTTCATTAACGAACGCTGCTAAAATAAGTCAACCCTATGAGATGATGTATGTTAAGAATTTGATCCGGAATAAAAAAATTAAGTCCTCAACTTATGAAGATAATGTTTTCATATATAAATCATTAAATTTACAATATTGGATGTTGATTACAAGAATAATTCAAAATGTTAGAATAAGTAATGATTTATGGTTATATAAATCAAAGGATGGTCAGAGTTTATTAAAGGCTATAATAAGTCATCTAAATAAATATTCTAATAGATATTCTCATTCTAAGGATGATGAAGAACAAATAATGAAGGTTGATTTGTTTTTACTAAAACCCTTAATGTATATAGCGAATATAGCTGATAAAATTGGTTCGAAATCAAAAAAGAACATTGAACACGATTATTTACAAGGAATGTTGAAAAAATTTAATGGAAAATATTCTTTAGATTATAATAATAAATCTGATATAGATATGAATGTTGGATTAGGTAGTGAAATAAGGAAAAATGGAATTCCTCCGTTCTGGATGTTGGGAGTAGCATAGTTTTCGTAACAAAAAAAAAACTTATTTTTTTATAAAATTTATATTTTTGTTGTAATAAAATTATAATGTAATAATTTTAATGTATATTTTTTGATTGTTACTGTACATCTTTTATTTTGATAGTACTTTGAATTAAACTATTCAAACAAACCTAATTTGTAAAATTCACAATTATCATTGTTAAAAAAAAATCATTATGAACTTTTATTAACTGAATATTTTTTCAAGCTAAATAAATAAAATAAAATGAATAAATAAATTATATGAAATAAAATTTAATTATCTCTGATTTGCATGTCCATTCAAAGAAGGAGGAAAGAGAACTTCGCGAATGTTACCCAACAATCCTTTATCATAGATATTTTTGAGTTCTGATAATCTCTTTACCCGCCTTCCAATTTGTTGATTCTTACTATTCCTTTCATTTTCATTATTTTTTCCTTTGTCATTATCTTTATTATTTTTTTCGTCATTATCTTTTTCATTATTTTCATTATTTTGACGTTGTTTTATATCACGTGGTTGTATCCAATAAATTGCAGTTGTTTTTCCTGAATCTTTTTCATTGATTTCTTCTCTTTTAACCGAACTGCTAGACTCATTACTTTCTAATTTCTTTGAAGAATCATCCGATCCTTTTTCGTAAACCCAAAATTCTCCTGCCAGGATAACTTCATCTAAATCTTCCCATTTAAATGTCTCGTTTGACGTTGTACCAGCAATTATCAAATAAAAATGATAAAGCATAAATATTAAAATAACCGCACTAACAAGAGCAGCGAAAAGTCCTAAAGCACCAAGAAGTCGTTCTTGATGAATTAAAAACTTTTAAAATGGATAGTATGACTTAAAATTTTTGTTGTAAAAAAAAAAAAAATTGAAATAATGAATATAAAAGGTAACTCACTAATACAGTTTGATAACTAGAAATTGGTATTCTTAATCCTCTTGAATTATATACAAAAAGAGTATGCAAGTTCATTTTCGTTGCTATACCATTGAATATACTATAAATCAAATATGAACCATAAACACAGATTTGGAAAGTGGCATATAGAAAAAGAACAAAATAACGATGATTCCTTAAACCAACACAATTATTGATCCATGCACCTATTATAAAAGATTAATAACATTATTCAACATTTCATTTAATTTTATAAGTAAAAAACCCTTTTAAAAACTTACAGTGGTGATCAAATTTAGCTACACAAATTTTACATAGTGAACAATGTTTTGATCGTGCAGGTCTGTATAACGATAAAAAAAATTTTTTTGTTAATTTTATCTATAAAATTATCTTCATAATAATTCCAAATTTGATAAATGACAAGATATATACTTTTGTAATAAACAAGTTCTGCACGGTTTTGGTTGAAATAACAAGTAATCATACTCAAACATTCTACAAGCTCTAAACTCGTTTTCCTTTGTTATTTTCCCCGGATCACTGAGGCTTGCTATAAAGAATGTGACGTATGTAAAAATAATAACTATCGGAACAATATATCTATTATAAAAAAAGAATAATTAACGTTAAGATATGATCAAAATAGTGAAAATCAAGCAAGCATTTGATCGTTTGACACGTACACTACTTACACGTGTATTTTGGAGATATATGGCCCTGGAATATGAGGCCATGCAGTTATGTAAAATGAATAAATGGATCCTGACAATAAAGATAAGTAAACAATCTATATGATAAAAATGGTATGTTCAGATAACTATCATAGATTATTAGAAACTTTCAATGAAAAACTCGAATATTACTTGTAAAACTGGATTGGTTTCTTCTGTAATGTACACATATAATCGATCACATGTCCGTGATACACGATTTCCGAAAACTTTTCGAAAAGCATACCTAAATTAAGAAAATTGATCAATCCTTAGATTCAGGATAAAAATCTTAATAAACCTGTTGACAATAAGAATTCCAAAGAAATAAATTAACCCGATCCATTCTACGAGTGTAACCGTCAAAAAATGATGTATTCTACCGATGGGGCCCTGTCTATAGTGAAATAAAATAAGCCAAGATATGTAAAACAAAAATAACTCCGCAGAAATCGAAACTAAGTAATAACCTGAAACGAGGAGACGGTCCTAATAATAATATAAAAATTAAGAAGCCAAATGCACCGAGATATATTGCAATAAGGAGGAATAGATCCTGAAAGTCACATATTTTCAATACAAGTGAAAAACAAGTGAACGTAAGGCAAATTATGTATACAGAAGCTGCTTAAACTTACCATATCACTATTTTTTTATTACATAAACTTTACTCGATATCTCGATATCACGTTGATCAACTAGCACTAAAAGTTTTCAATATGTGTAACGTAAATGACATCGTACAAAATAGTGATATCAAACATAGATATCAAGTTAAATTATGTCGTGTAACATTCTTTTTAGTCTATAAGTTGCCGTTTTGCGTATATTAATGTTACTATTTCCCCGGATGTCTTTACAAAAAAAAAACTTTTAATTTATAAGATTATGAAAATAATATTTTGACATTTTATCTTTAATAATAAGAATATAAATCTATTTATCTATTAAATGGCAACAACAACTCCATATATACGGTTAAACGCCCAGTGGCCGAAGCCACCAAAACGTGCAAGGTGTACAACAATTATTAAATTACTTGTTATAATAACAGTCATTGCTATTATATCATTTTTTATATTTTGCGAATTGCAGCTTAATGCACGGATTTATTGGAGAGAATGGATAGTAAAAGAAGAATTTAAATACGAAAGACTAAGTGAATGTTTTGATAACATCCCTTACTCATCTGATTTACCATCTACGATTTCTTATAACGAAATTCTTCCTGCAATACCTATAAATTATGGTTGGGATTGTTACGATTTCGCAAATAGTATAAGATTATTACCTGGTCAACCACAAGAAAAGATAATATATCATACATATTGGCGTACTGATTTGAGACCTCTTGGTGATAAACAACTTGTAACTTTAAAATCATTCTTTGCGACTCAATCTGCTAATTTTTCATCCATGATTCTTTGGTCTAACGGGGATCTATCAAATAATACTGAACTTAAACCTTTCTTTGATCGATATTCTGATCGATTTATCACAAAACTCTATAATGTTGAAGAAGAAAGTAAAGGAACTCCAATGGAAAATTCAAAAAATCTCCAGATAGAAGACAGACATGCTTATCTTGATGGTGATTTAATACGACTTCTTGTATTATACAAGTATGGTGGTGTATGGTTTGATATGGATTCTCTCTTTATTCGTGATTTTTCACCACTTATAGAACACGAATGGGTTGGTCAATGGGACTGTTTTTTACCTGAATCTTTTCCATTCAATGGTGCATTTATGAGATTTAAAAAGAATTCTCCTTATGTTTGTGAATTTTTGTCAGAGATGGCTAATGGTCCTGTTCCAAGAAAAGATTCAACTGATTGGGGATCAACTTTATATTATAAAATATTTAGAAGATTAATACAAAATGAAAAAAGACCTTTTAAAGCGGTTCCTTGGTGTTTTACCGATCCTTCATTATGTCGTCCTAGTAATTCAATGCCCAGTGCGTTTGATGAGGTAGAATTTAATCAAGAAAAACTATTACAGGTATTTGCTTATCATTGGCATAATCAATGGGATAAACCAAAGGGTAGTTTATTTAGATTCTTGGAACAAAGGCATAAGGATATTTTGGGATTTTAGACCATATAATTGTAACAAATAAAGATTATAATATGTGCCGATTACGGTTAATAAATGCATTAATACAAAATATTTGAGTAAATTGTATATTATCTATTAATCAGTGTACATAATGTTATTATTAAACTAGTTATTTGAATAAATTTGATTATTTTATTAATGCTTATTCGAAGCGTTAAAATTCATGTGTATAGAAATGATAGAGATAATAGTACAACATTAGTTGTACATATGTTCCCAGAAAAAAAAAAAGTCCAATTTAATAACCATTTTATATGACTGAAGATTAATAATAAAAGTCGCTTGCATAAAAAAAAGATTAACATGCTGATAATAGCGTAAAACTGATTCAATATATGAAATAAAGCAATCTTTTTACATTTCAATTTCAATGCTATCCTCCATATGATTTTTTTTGCTTGTCACATACAAATCCAAAACTGTTTCATTACCAATTGTACTTTCACCCTCATACCTCTCTTTTGCAACCATTTTCTTACATTCTTCCCAATTTTCCTCGTTTTTAATAACAAAAGTTCCTTTACTAACAGATGTATAATAAAATGGAGGTGAAATTAATTTTGAATTCAAGCGTTCTCGCAACATTTGGATGAAATTTTTTAGTGTAGTATCATAAGACAGATCATAATGAAATCGGACTTTTTCATAATTTATTAAAGTCGGTATCTTTTTAAAGGATATAGTAAAATATTAAAAGTAAGAATCAATAAAAGACGAAACGTATCAGATATACATATTACATTAATAAAAATTTTACCAGTATGTTATCATAAGATACCATAGTAGTGTCCAAAGGTTCGGTGGCTTCTATTTGTAATTTCCTATATTACATATAATTAAAATAATACATTAGTATATATAAAAAGGTTAAAAAGGATTAATATAAGCTATTAAAAAAAAAGTTTTGAGAGCTGCAGATAAAGAGTATAAAGTGAAATGCCTCTATGTATAAAATAAAAATGGCTATGAACATAAATTAATTAGGCAATTCCATCGTAGATCTATACTCTTTAACTGCGGATTTGCCAAAAAACGAATACCTAAACATGTCATCCATGGCTCTAAGTTTATCAAGATTTTCTTGATCAGATACAATCATTGAAATTTTACCCGCTTTAGCAATTTCACCTTCTGATGGATCAATAGAAAGGCGTACTTCATTATAATTTATTATTGTTCTCACCTATTGTTTGTTACCAATAAGAATTTCATAAAATGAAAACTAAGTTGTACACAAAGCAAGCAAATCAAATGCATTGTTTAACGTACGGGTATTAACCACTTTGAAATTTTGCTCGCCAATAGCAACTCTATGAGTTTATCATTTCTCGAATAATGTTCAAATCCTTTTATATGAATATCAAGACGAGATGTATCACCAATAGTACTAGTATTTACCATTAAATTAGTAAAACAAATAGATTGGGTAGTCGGATTGAGAGAAATTGCACAAGGATAATAGTTGATAAAGTTTCCAATGGTGAGTTTTTGGAGGAGTAACGTAATTGATAGCCGATCAACCTCACCATCGGAATTTTCATCCTCGCTATAAAAATCATCAATGTATGGATCAACTTGAGTAGCCTGCAAAACAGAATCGTTTTTCGCGGCCTTCTTAAATTCACAAAAATAATTAAACATTTGATAAACTATTTGTCAAGCTGCAGATTTAAAGGAACTTGCCTTTGTAGATATTTCAGTAGTGCGCTTTTTTTTACCGATACTAAGAAGATTGGGACGCAGTGACGCTTTATTTATTTCGTTAAATGATTCTGAATCCTTATTCACGAATGATACGCGTGTCATTACGCCATTATCAGGTGATTCTTTATCTTTCCCTAGATAAGAAACGCGCGACATAACATCTCCCGTTCCAATAAAAGAGACACGTGACATAACGTCGCTCCCATTAAGAAAAGTCAAGCGCGACATCACGCTAGTATGTTTTTTTCTTTTTGGTGATTGCAAGTTCTGATTTTCAAAAGACATTCGTAACGTCACATCATCGTTATTTTCAGTGGTTCCTCCATTTTGAGAATTTTCTTGAGGAAGATCGAAAATAATAGGTTTGTACTTTGGTAGCACATGATCTTTACCAACTCCAGATATATCTTCCTGGGTCTTTCCATTATGAACGCTCTCTTGAGGAAGGTCGAAAATAATAGGTTTAAACTTTTGAGAAGTATGAGTCAATTTATCAATTGATTTTAAAGATCTGTTTGATGAAAGTGCACAAAACATTTCATTTTTATCCTGAATTTTTTCCGACGCAAATTTGCGATGAGATTTTCGCCTGTGGAAATCATCATCATCATCATCATAATCATAAGCATTATCACTTTCATCTCCTCGGTCATCGATATAGCCGTTAAAAGAAGGAATACTTGACGGCTTTTTAAAAAACATTTCATTTTCATTATCAAAGTAATCTTTGTCCCAAAATGAACCATAGTTTAGCAGTCCACATCGTTTATTGTTCAATGATTTATAATGCTCTATTAAGTAAGATTCAGGCATAGAACTTTCATCACTTGGAAAATATTGATCTGTTAATTCATCCAAGGATTCTATTGTTTCTTTTCCATAGCGGACTATTTCTTGTTCATCATAAAACTGTATTATATTCATCTTTCATAAATGAGTTATAGAACGTAAAATTCAAAATACAAAAAAAAAAAACATTGGAATAAATAAATAAAATATTGAAAAACCATCTCAACATTTTCTTCAATATCGTCTTGATCATCCGTAAAAAATTCATTATCTTCATTAAACTCAAAGTCTCCAAAAATCTCTGACAAATTGTCAATTTCCATTTTTGAATAAAAAAACGAAAAGGCAGTAAAGAAAATTTTGATTCATGAGAAAATTGCAAATGTGAAAAATATAAAATATGACGAATAATTCAATGTTAACAATCAGGGTTGTGTGATGACGTATTTTATTGCCTTTTTTTTATTGTTATATAGATGTATCCGTGCGTCATTATATACATAAAGTCCCTTTGTCAATTAAAGCAAAAGTATATAAATATCGTGTGATATAATATGGAATTATTATATATCATGCAATGATTATTAAAACTTCTCTATTTCTAAAATCTAAACTCTTTTTCGGTAACATAATAAGATGAAAAACCAGATTACGTGAATACTCTACCGACACCTTGACATCTAGGACATAGGTCCTCTATAAATAAGAGACTAACTCTCCCAGATCCTAGAAAAATTTATAATACATTATAACAATACAGTAATTTTAATTAATATGAATTTCAGTATAAAATAATATATAAATTTTTATTTTTTTATTTCTTACCTCTACAGTGAGTGCATAGTCGCCCTCCGATAGCTGGATCACCAGGCGAGGCATATATAACATTAGGTACGGCAAATGACTTCCAACATTGTTGGCATCGTGTTCTTTGTCGAATGTATCCCGTATTATTGCAAGTCGAGCAAATATAACCTGCCGGATATCGAAGTGTTAAATTACTAGTAGCATTATTTCTTGGAGGAAGTGGCGGAGGATTTGTTGATACTTGCTGATGGTAAATGACAGGTTGTTGAGTTCTTTGGTAATAATTATTTGACGGCCTAGAAGATTGATTCTGTTGTGGTGGTTGATACGGAATAGTTTCAAAAGCACGGGTGGGGCCAAAAGCCATGGATTGCTCTCCTGAATTTGGAAAGGGTGAATATGCTGGTGGTGCCTCTTCAGTTATTATGTCATGCATGGTAGTTGAAGAAGAACTGTTACTGGGTTGTTGAGACATTATTCAAATTACTTGTAAAGTTTAATTATACTTAATATTGTTCTTTAAATATGACTTGGGGTTAACCGTAACGTTTTAACGTTTTGAATTAGCATAAAGTGATCTGTCACACAGCTTAGTTTATCACTGATGTTACATATAATTATACCAATAGAATTCCTACGCATTTTTTTTAATCGAAAAAAAAATCTTGATTTCTTTGATTTAGCTTTCAGTTCAATTCAGTTTTTTAAAAAAAGAAGTTGAAATGTCAGAAGAATACGCAGGCGCCATAGGGATCGACCTGGGTACAACGTACTCTTGTGTCGCCGTGTGGGAGAATGAGCGCGTTGGTAAGACAAACCGACGTAAAAAAAACTATTCCCCTAAACAGAACAGACATTATTTAAATTCTGTATTTATGCTGGATAGAAATTATCGCTAACGAACAAGGGAATCGTACAACGCCCTCTTATGTGGCTTTCGCTGATAATGAACGTCTTATTGGAGATTCAGCTAAAAATCAAGCGGCAATGAACCCAAAAAATACAGTATTTGACGCGAAGCGATTAATAGGTCGTCGATTTGATGATCCAGAAGTAAAAGCTGATATGAAACATTGGCCTTTTACCCTTATCGATAAAGATGGCGCACCATTAATTCAAGTTGAACATCAAGGTGAAAAAAAAAATTTTACTCCTCAAGAAATATCGTCAATGGTATTGACTCGTATGAAGGTGATCATTATTACTATTTTTATTAACACATTCGTGTTACCTTCGATTTATGGTTTATGTTCTTTGATTATGCTATTATTTCTAATAGGAAATTGCCGAAGGAAAGCTTGGGAAAAAAGTTAAAAAGGCCGTGATTACAGTTCCAGCGTACTTTAATGACTCTCAACGTTTAGGTATAAAATTTAAAATTTGGGGGTAATATATATTATCTTAATATATAAAATATTAATTTTTCAATTGATATTTGATAGCAACAAGAGATGCCGGTACAATCGCAGGTCTTGATGTACTCCGAATAATCAATGAACCTACAGCAGCAGCAATTGCTTATGGCCTTGATTCTAAAGAGAGCAAAGAAAAAAATGTACTTATTTTTGACCTCGGGGGTGGGACTTTTGATGTTTCTCTCTTAACGATATCGGGTGGTGTATTTGCAGTCAAAAGTACCGCGGGCGATACCCATCTTGGAGGAGAGGATTTTGATAATAACCTTCTTGAATATTTTAAGCAAGAGTTCAAACGTAAACATAAAAATGATATTTCTGATGATGCTCGTGCCATACGTCGTCTAAGAAGTGCATGTGAACGTGCAAAACGAGCATTATCTTCAACAACTCAAACCAATGTGGAAGTTGATTCATTATACGATGGTATCGATTTTCAAGCTACTATAACTCGTGCCAAATTTGAAGAATTAAATTCTACTCAATTTAATTCCACCTTGGAACCCGTTCGAAAGGTTTTAAAAGACGCAAAGATGGAAAAAAAGGACATTAATGAGATTGTTCTTGTTGGAGGATCTACCCGTATTCCTAAAATTCAATCTCTTCTTCAAGACTTTTTTGATGGCAAAGAACTAAATAAAACGATTAATCCGGATGAGGCAGTTGCTTATGGAGCCGCAGTGCAAGCTGCTCTTCTCACTAATCAAGCAGGCAATGAGAAAACTCAGGATCTTTTACTTTTGGATGTTGTACCGCTTAGTTTAGGAGTTGAAACTCAAGGTGGGGTAATGGCTGTTGTTGTTCCCCGGAATTCACCAATTCCTACCCTTAAAAAAAAGATATTCACTACTGCTGAAGATGGACAAACTATTGTTGAATTTCCTGTGTACGAAGGAGAACGACCAATGTGTCAAGATAACAACCTTCTAGGATCTTTCGAATTGTCTGGAATCCCTCCAATGCCGCGTGGAGAAGCTGAACTTGAATGCACTTTTGATATTAATGCAGATGGCATACTTAAGGTCACTGCAAAAGATAAAGCAACTGGCCGTAAAGCTAATATTACTATTTCAAATTCTGCTGGACGGTTATCTGCTGCGGATATTGAACGCATGGTCGCTGAATCAGAAAAATTTAAAGATGATGACAAGAAATGCCAAGAGCGAGTTGAAGCCAAGCAAGAACTTGAGAATTATGTCTATCAAGTATGTAAATATGTTCAGTATTTACTAATACATATATATACTAATACATATATATACATATATTTTAATGTGTAGATTGAAAATACGCTCAATGAACCTAATGTTGCAATGAAATTAAAACGAAATGATAAGGAAGCAATTGAAAACGCCCTTTCAGGTTCGAACATGTGTTATTGTTTGAAATCAATAATTCAAAATTTAATCTTCATTTATTTTTACAGAGGCACTCGAATTTCTTGACCTTGCTAATGATGCGTCCATCAATAAAGAAGAAATTAATGCAACTAGAAAGAAATTACAACGTAATGTTACTCGTGCATTCGCATCACTTAATCGTTGATAGATTGTGCTTAATGTTCTTAATAACATTGCCAAATGTATATTTTATTCGATAAAAAAACTCACATCTGAATTGACAAGACTACGTCTTAGATGAAATTAATGTTATTTGTCTCGCGAAACTAAGATTCGTTTTTACTGAATAATAAATGGCCAATCATTCTGGCAAACTATGTATATAAATACAGAAAATTTGTTGCGGTTGGTAGTACCATTAAAAAGGTATAATTATATTGTACAATAATTAACTAGATTATACATAAACTCCAACGGCCATTGACAAGAATATACATCCAACTCCCAACAAAAAAGAAGCTAGAATTGCAGGCGTAATTTCATCCACTAAAGATTTTCGAGCCGGGAGTCTATAATATTTTGTATTATTAAGAGATGATAAAATAAAACGATGCTTAAAAAAAAAATAAATAGCATATCTATTATAATTTGAAATATAGATGCCATTTTCACAATATAAAAGGATACACAGAGTACGCACTACTTGCTACAAATCCAGATACCAACAGTAAGAAGGTTATTAATGGGAACAAGTCTTTTGGAACCAGCGGGGTAAAGGGGGTTGACTCTTGCCAATCTGTCTATTTTGAAAATTAATTAAATTAAAAAATAAAATGAAATGAAAATGAATATTGAAATTTACCAGAGATGACATCTTATTAAACCGAAACGACGAAATTAATGATCTTTGGTTATTTATGTAAAAAAATGATTGGCTGTTCGCTGCTAAAATTAGTGAAACAAGAGGATAGGTTAGTGGAGCAACCAGATCAACCAAAATCTGGGTCGGAATAGGATGGTATAAACTTCTCCCAAAATTTTACGCCCACGTACTTAGTAAAGCTGCCCAGATGATAATGTTTATATAGTGCCCTATATATGTTGTAGGTAGAAACGGAATTTAAGTGGATTCGGAATTTTTATATAAAACCCGCATTTTGTGGTTGATTTTGTCATATATACACCCTAACCCTAACCCCAATTTAAATAGGAAATTCCAAATCCACTTAAATCCATTTTCACTTACGACATATATATACTGTCAACTATGGATATAACGGAAATCTGGGCTGACCAAAAAATCCCGTTATATAGCATATTCGTTATAAGACCTATATACCTATATACCTATATATATAACGAAATTAATAACAGAGTTAGGCTGGATTCCGTTATAATGGTTAAATAAATATATATAGATTGCATTCTTATTGGTTGCAAGTTGTCGCATTATATTGAATTCATTATATAGATTGGAATTTTATAATAAATCAGTATATGGGCTGGCAAAGAGTTCCGTTATACGTAATATGGCCTTTTTACTATTAAATCCGTTATAACCACTATAAATTATATTTTAAAAATTCGGTACTTCAAATTTGGTCCGTTAAACTGGTGATTCCGGTGTAAGGGTGTCCGTTATATTCATAGTTGACAGTATATATATATTAAGGTTAGGGTTAGGTTTAGAAATATGTGTAGTTATAAGGGAGAGTAGGGTATTATGATGCACTTACAAAATTCATTGAAATAGATTACTTAGCAAATTAACTATGTGCCAAAAAATGCTATGTTTTTTACATTTGGGGCACATCATGTTTACTATATGTTTCATATTGTATTACTTATTGCATCTTTCCTTTGGACATTACCTAATGAGAAAATATATTATAAAAATTAAAAAGAAACTTAATACTGTCATAAGTAATGTCAACTTTTACTTCTATCTGGTGATTTAGCAATTAGAATCAAAAAAAAAATTTTATATTATTGGATTTGTCTCAGTAAGACAAATCAAATGATACCAAAATTACTCAATTCCAATCAATGTATCATGAAATATTATCAAAAACATGAATGCATCATAATACCTACCCTTCCTTATGTGCTGAACAATTTTTAAGATACCTATATATGAATATCTTAATAAAATTTTGAAATATTAATGATTTTTGATTTTTTTTTCTATATATTAATTTTCTATTACTTAATGTCAACACAGTTCTGGGCAGAGCTGATAAATGACCTGAAATAACCCAAATGACTCAAATGACAAATGATCAATCATTTGTCATTTTTAAACCCAAATGATCTTAGAAGGTCATTTGATATTTGTTAATTAATAAACTAATGTTTTTTAACTAATTAAAATTAATTATTTTCAAAAATAAAATATAATTAATAATTATAATTACATATAAAAGTTAATATTTTACTAAGTTAATTGAGATTTATATCTTAAATAAAATTGTTTAAAAAAACAAATCACATATATTTTAAAAGTTTTATCTAATTATAAAAATTTTTTATTAAGATATTTTTATATTTTATTTTTATATAAAAAAATTTTTAAATTTTTTATATAAATTTAAGATACCAAAATTTGTTAATAAAAAGTTATTAAAATTAAATAAAAATTTTAAAATATATGTAATTTGTTTTTCTAAACAATTTTATTTAAGATATAAATATTAAATAACTTAGTAAATTTTGACTTTTATATATAGTTATAATTGTTAATTAGTAAAATTATAATATTCAATATCTTTTTATATCAACTATTTGATCAATAAAATTACTTTATATTCAAATAATTCAAATAACATAATAATCAAATAATCTGAATCATTTAGACAAATGACAAGGTTATTTAGATTTTGAGCAAATGACCAGGTTATTTATTATTTTTGGTTTTGCATTTATCTTGACCTTAAGGGTAGGGGTGACGTAGATCATTTTTACTAGTAATTTTATAGCAAATCATATGATATCATATGATTTATATATAAAATATTGGTTATGTTACACAAATTTTCTATATAAATCCTGTGTAACCTAGGAAACTCATAAGCTGACCTAGGCAAACTTAATAATATATAAAGTATTTTTTTTTAAATAAAATAAATTATAAAATTTTATCAAAATAATTAGAAGATATAGATTTATATACTATTAAATTTTGGTAACAATTGAATATAATACTAAAAAGTTTTATTAGTAATATTTTTTTTTTATATATAAAATTTTATTTGCTAGAAAAATCATATGACAAATGATCTATATCACCCCTACCCTTAAATTTATATTAATCTGCTGAATTTTAGTTAATTATTTCACTAGGTCATCATATCTCTAATTAATTTTTTGTAAATAATGATATATATTAATTTAAATAATATTAATAATAATCTATTTTTTGTTAATATTAATATATATTTATTTATTAATTTATATAGATTTTGATATACATTAATTTACAATTATTCTATTAATATATATTAATTATTTAATAGGATGTGGTGACTTAGTGAAGTGGATAAGTTGTCAATTCTCCAAGTAGTAGGTTGTGAGTTCAAAATCCACAGATGGCAAAAATTTAGATAATTACTTATATAATATTCATATTATAGTAACTGTTTTTAATGATTAAGTTAAAATACTTGTAACTAAAGTCATATTAGCATTACTAACAGGTTATGGGGCATTTGTGTAACTGATTATACAAAGGAATGCAAACTGGCAACAGGTGATGCAAACCTAAAATAAGTCCTTATAACTATGTAAATCTATAGAAATTGAAGAACAAGAAGTTTATTTAGGAAGACTTGAATAAAAAAATAATATAGATCTTTAATAGTATTATTATAAAGTCTAGACTTAGGAAACAGATATCAATATGAAATACTTGGATAAGCAAAAACCTCTGAATGAAGAGTATTACTAACCAGACTGCCAGAAGTTCAACTGGAAGGACTGAAAAAAAAGAATATCAAGCTGACCTGATATACTAATAAACTGGTTATAATTCTATTATACTATCTGAATTGAAAGTTTGAAAAAAAAATAAAAATATACTAAAAGTACTAAAAATATGCTGTAAAATAAGTGCTAAGGTCTGAATAAACTTTGCAAGAACAAGCCTTATTAATGTTTCATAAAGTGAGTAGATAGTTAACAAAGGGGCTCCCAGAGCCTTATAGTTAGGTGACATGTTCTGAAATTAGATAATGACTTAACAGATATACAGAAGAAAGACAAAATGTTAGGTTAGATGGCACTTAGGTATATAGGAACCAGAATAGCTAATTATCTAAGTGCAATATAGAAACCAGAGTGTTTAATTAAATAGTCTCTTAATAAATTATAGATATGGCAACTAGTGTAGAACTCTTAGATAGACTACTTAGATAGGTAATCAAAAGTTACATATATTGTTAGTTGTATATTTATCTTATACAAGTAATATATAATATATTCACTAAAAGTACAAATAAAGGCATTAGCTGCTATTAACATCAATCTTAATAATAATAATAATAATAAATAAATAAATAAAATTATTTAATATATATCAATTAGTATTTATTTAAAATTTTTTTTAATAATCTTAAGTTTGCACCACCTAATATTGGTTTAAATTTCTTAATATAATTAGTTATACAAATGCCTTATAATCTGCCAGTTATACTAATTTAACTATTATTACAAATATTTTAACTTAATTATTAAAAACAGTTACTACAGTGCAGGCAATCTTAAATCAGCAAGTCCTAATATATGTGGCCAAATTTTAAATCAGGTCAGAGCAGATCGGAGCCAATAAAATTGCAGAAAATTAAACAATTAAAAAAAAACAGATTATCACATTTGGGTTAGAGATTGGAATTGTTTAAAGTTTCTTAATCATTTAATCATTTAACTGTATTAATGTATTAACTATTTAACTTAGTCAACATAAAATGTTCTGGCCCATAATTCACATTTAAACAAAGGAAAAACAAAATAATTACATCGAATATATATAATGCTTTTAATATATTTATACAATAGAATTTTTATTGCGCTTTGCAAAATAGTAACCCTATAATTAATTTTTTTATAATTAAATGATTGTAATTGCTAAAGCTAATCAATTTATCATAAATCTGAATTTGTATCAAACCCAGTTTTTAGGTAAATTGGTCAGTTTTAGCAATTACAATTATTTAATCATAAAAAATTAATTATAAAGTTATACAATTTTGCAAAGTGAAATAATTACTTGATTGGTTTTAAGATTTCAATCGCATTATAATTTTAAGAACACTCAATTATATATATATGCTAAAATATCAAGAACTATCATATTCGATCATGTTCAGAAGTTTTTATTTAAAAAATATTTATAATATTAACAATGCTGTTATAATTTCAGTTATAAAATATGTTGTACTTATATTAATAAACAACATATATTATAAATATTAATTTATGTTGTAGCAATTTTTATAATGAATATTTTATTTATTCAATTTGACTCTAATTTCCAATAACAACTGAAAGTATTTCATCAAACATTCTAGCCTTTTAGACTTTTTAACAATAAATGTTTTATATTTTTTCTTTAATCCCAACTCCAATTAAAATTTATTTAAGATAGATGTATCTAAATAGAAACTTAATTTATTAAAGAGCAAAAGGTGAAAAAACAATAAAAAATTAAGTATTGCAGTAACAATACTAGATAAAGTTGTCACCTATTTGTTAAATTCCAATGTGTTAATCTCATTTAAAATTGTATCTGGAACACGACAGTGTGACTGATATTTTCTCACAACACATTCTGCAGGTTTTTCTGTTAGACCTTTATGATACACATCCATATATCTAAAAGACTTCTGAGCATATCGCCTAATTTCAGTAAGAGATACTGATTCAAGAGCTTGTGGCACAGTTTTTTTCAAACCTTCCTATATGTAGTTACAGTGATTTCATGCATATCACTTTGCTGACCCCCAAAAATTTTCTATATAATTTAACTCACAATGGAATTTTGGATAAAAATAACTTCATGACCTGCGAAAATAATCATTTCTTTAATTTTTCCATGTTGTGCTCTAAAATCTAGTTGGTTCGCCATTGTTGTTCTAGTGCAGCAGTCAGTTAATTCTTGTTCACATCCCCCTTTACATTTCAATTTCATTTCATCACACCACAATTCTCTCTCACTCAATACCTGCCTTAGACCTTTTAGTTTACCACACAGATCAGAATCTTCATAATCTTCAGGAAAGCATATATCTTGCGGAATATTATCTCCATACATAGTATTTCTAAATTTTTGAGAATATTAAATATTAATATATTGCTATAGAAATTTAAAGTACTTGTAATAATGTACAAACCTCATTTTTGGTTGTTTTCCACCAAAGAATAAATTCATGTTCTTTGCTAAAAGGGCATCTTTGGCATATGCACAATGACCAGTTGCATTATCAAATGCAAAAAGAGCCTTTGCACCTAAAAACCGAGCTTCAAATATTGGAATTGCACAGTTTATCACCTGATCTACAAGATCATCTGAGTTCCACCATCTATCACCATCTTTACCTAGATAAGTTACAACATACACTTCTAATGGAAGGTTAGAAAAAGCAATCTAAAAAAAAGATTTCTTTCACTTGGAATTTTTATTTATAAAAAAAAAAAAAATAAAGCTTAAAAGTTATATAATATACCTTATTCTCCTTACGTAATGCTAAACGCCCACCAATATCTGTGAGAAATTCACTTATATGAACTGACCACCCTTGGCCTTTTTTGCGAAGTGGTTGCTCCCCTTTTGGCAACCACAACCAACATCTTCTATTATAAGCTAAAAAAATACACTCATCATGTGTTACCAAAATAATAATATCACTAAAAAACGGAAACCGTTATAAGTCTGGAGCAAAATCACATGAGATTTGTTGTGTTACACGAATATGCAAGTGGAGATGAACAGAAAATTCAAAGTTATGTTTTTGATATTTTTATTATTTATGCATCAATAATGATACTTTTGGTGCATCAAAAACGTAACTTTTGTATCATTTTGCATAGAAATTGAGCGTCCTCCACTATGCTCCAGACAATTAGAATCTGGTCTAGTTTCTTCTTCCATGTTTTCACCAGAAAAAACTACCATATGTGCTTCGAATTCTGCTATTTTTTCCAAAAATCTTTCATGATAAGCCACTACATCCACATACTCATGCCCATCCATATACATTTCTTTTTTAACTTCTGAATACTCAAACCCAAATATTTTTAGCCAGTTTTTGGCTGTTCTTATGAATATTGTTGGTGATGAATTGAAACAAAGATTCAGAAGTATTGTTTCATTCACATGGTTTGCCAATTCATCTGGATTAATATTTCACTTATTTGATCAGAGAAATGACTTAATCTGAATTAAAACATTATCATCTTATAAAAAACTCTATGTTTTTGGATGATTTTCTTGTCTAGAAATTGAAAATTTGTCATTTTTAATGTAATTTACTGCCTATGCACATATGCAACGAGCATGATAAACACCTTTCTCAGCTGTTTCTGCCACGATGATGCTTGCCTCAATTCTTTTTTGGCTACACTCTACAAGACGAAACTAGGACAGCATTGTATAAAGGCAAGCCTTTACCACCTTACTATATTTATCATGCTTGATTTCTTTTTTCAATTGTTTAATGGCATGGTTCAAGTTTTCTAAAGACATGATATTATGATCTTCAACAGTTTCAACTTCAAAATTACTTCTAAAAGTTTCAGAATCACTATCTGAACTGATTGTATTACTCATACCATCATCATCTATATTCATATGTCTATTTATCATCTTTTTAAAAAGATTCAGTTAAAATAATTTAATATTAATTAATATTACATTTATTAGCTAAATTTATTGAAAAATAACTTACAGGTGACCAAAATAATTCTAACTTAGGTGTTCCAACTGCAGCTTCTTGCTGTAGTTGTCTCTGTCTTCTTTTCATTCTTATTGTGTTTCCAATATACACAAGTGGTTGATGAGTAGTCTTTTCTGGAACTGCCTGCATCAACCTTGTAATTATGTTATTCACTTCTTTAGGTCTCAAAATACTTATTTCTCCATCCTTGATGTTGTTAAGTTCGTCACTACTGCTGCTACGAGTTTCTGAAGCTTCCACCTGGTACCATCTCTTAGCTATCTTTTGTACCTTAATCTTTCGTAAGTGAACCTTTTTTTTAGATAATCATGCCATTCTGGTGAAATACTATATATTTGACAATAAGAATAAATTTGCAAGTCGATTGAGTTTTCTTTTTATATAAGTACAAACTACATTTTTATTTATCCTTTTTTTTTTTTTTTTTTTTTTTTTTACTTTTTTAAAATAAAGCCTTCATTTTACAGGTTTGTTGCCCATCTTCTTTATTATTTTATTACATCATAATTTGAAATCAAGTAAATTATTCAAAGCATCATAATTTTAAATACCATGTGAATTTAATCACTTGAATTTGTGAAATATGAATATGGAGGCCTTTCACGCTATAAATTATATAATAGTTTCATAGTTTCAGAGTTTTGACAAAGATCAATCACTAATTTGTAATATCCATATTGCATTCTCAGATAAGTATAGTCCTGTTTGCTCTTCCTAATATATTTGATTACTTTCTTGTTCACTAATTCAATTCATTCTTTATCAAATGCTTAATAGGTTAATTAATGAGCCTTCACATACATAAAACTATTATTGAACTTTCTTATTCGTTCATCTTACCTATGACCATATATAGCATTAGGTAAGGAAGAGTTTTTTTATTTTTTATTTCTGTTACTGTAGTGTCTTTTTTGATTCAATACTAATGAAACTTTTCGTAATGTCTTTATATGGCTTAAACAATTATGGTTTTGGAGAACCTTCTAAAGTTTTTATTTCATTTTGTAAAAAAAAAAAGAATCTTTATTGACCTACTGTATTTATATAACACTTACTGACATACGTATTAATGCATTACATAATAAGATACGTACAAACTATGACAAACTTTTGCATAACAACAGTAATAAAGTTCATTAATCTACTTGATATATGCTTATGATTAATCAACCAATTATATCAAACTACTACTGATCATGCAATTTATTATGCATTTTGGCCAATAGAATGCTTTATTTTTGTGTCACATATCCAGCCAAATTTTTAAATTTAATAATAAAATTGGTTAACCTTAAAAGAATATAAATCTATTAAATTTTAATTAACTAAAAAAACTAACTTCATAACTTTGTTCTTTAGGTTTGATTTTATTATTTTATGAAGAGATTTGGTTCATACCTATTTTAGTTTTTTATTTATAAGCTTTTAAAGATTATGTATTTTATATGTTGATTTAAGGTTGCCTGCATTGTATAACATAGTTGAAAATTTAAATTTTTATTGTTAATATGTTTTGAACTTTTAACCTGCCACTTGGAGAAGTAACAATTTGTTCACTTTACTAAGTTATTATATATTATTATTATTTTTATATTTAATTCTTTACAAAAATATATTAAATAAATAATATTTAATTCTTATATATAAAAGTTATAAAGATAGATGTGGGTTCTATAGCTTAGTGATTAAGCTCCCATACTCTCCACAGTCAAGGTCAACGGTTCAAGTCTGGCTGGAGACAAAATTGAAAGATTTTAGCTTCTGTAACCTAATAAGAAGCCTGTAATTGAACATGAAGTCCTGTGGTTAAGTTCAAGTGCAGTACAA